AAACTCTCTCAGCCTGTCCCCATAGCAGAGGTGCTCCAGCCCTCTGAGCATCTTTGTGGCCTCCTCTGGACTAGCTCCAACCGGTCTATATCCTTCTGATGCTGAGGGCTCCACAGCTGGACGCAGCAGTCCAGGTGGGGTCTCACAAGAGCAGAGCAGAGAGGGACAATCCCCTCCCTTGACCTGCTAGCCACGCTTCTGTGGATGCAGCCCAGGATACGGTTGGCCTTCTGGCCTAGAAGTGCACATTGCTGGGTCATGTCCAGCTTTTCATCCCCCAGTACCCCAAGTCCTTCTCCTCAGGGCTGCCTCAATCCATTCTCCGCCCAGCCTGTCGGAGAGGAGAGGAACCGAGGGGTGGCAGCTCTGCCCATCTCCTGGTTGACATCCCGGAGCAGACAGTGCTCCTGCCCCAGACGCTCCCACGGGACTCACTGAGGGGCTGGTGGCAAAGCCTTGAGCAGAACCCAGGAGCCCCGCGGCCTCTTCCCCTGTCCCAGGCCACGCTCCATCCCTCGGAGCTGGAACACGGGTGGAGTTACATGATGTCTCATCCCTCAACAGCCATCTCGACGCTTCCTAAGAGGATTGTTGCGGTAGGTGTAATATACTTAAGGGATTGTTCATAACAATAGTGTTTCGGCTGCACACCCTGCGCCCGCGGCACGGGCTGCCGTCACGGCCCGTTTGGACCCCGCAGGTTTACAGGACAACGTATCCTGCCAATCAAACCTCATCTGATGAGCTGATTAGTCTCACCCCAATTTCGGGAATTGTTTGGTGCACAGGTGAACCAGGAAGAGTCTGCGAGAGGCGGTAGGTGGGAGAGACTGGGGAGGTGATGTGAGCAGCGACCTGGTTGGAAGGGGAATAGTACCAAACCGACAAATTGTCTGCTGGAATGTCCTCGCTGTGAGGGCGGTTATTCCTGGAGAGATGAGAGGCACTGGGACAGGTTCCCAGAGAAGCTGTGGATGCCCCATCCCTGGGAGTGTCCAAGGCCAGGCTGGATGAGGCTTGGAGCAACCTGGTCTAGTGGAAGGTATCCCTGCCCATGGCAGGGGGTGGCACTGGGTGGGCTTTAAGGTTCCTTCCCACCCAAACCATGCTTGGATTCCATGATTCTATGGAATACAGGCAGAGAAGATCCCTGCCAGCCTGGGAGTCCGGCCAGAAACATCCTTGAGAAGCACAACCGACCTCCCTGCAGTGCCGGTGGCTGCCAAGAAACGGGAGACATCCCGAGATACCACCGATAAACACAAAACCAAGGATCTGTAATGGGAATTTATGGTCTGAAATGGTGATAAAATAGCCTGGAAAAAGTGGAAACATCCTGCCCTGGCAGAGATGCCCAGGAGATGCCCGCTGCTCACACACCCTGAGGCCCCTTCACTCAGAGCCCATTTTTGGACCCCAGGACCCCCACCCTGACCCAGCCTGGACCTCTGTCAATCCCCTGGCCCTGGGAGTTCCTGCTTGGGGAGAAACGAAGCCCTGGGGTCCCTCCTCATGTCCTTTTTCCCTCCTAGGGTGGGCAAGAGGAGACCACCACTGGGCAGCCCCCACCGGTGCAGATGATGGAGATGGAGTGAGTGGAGCGTCCCTGCCCCCCACCCGGTCCCTGTCATTCCCAGGACATCGCTGCCTGCCTGCTGCCATCCTGCACAGAGGGGAATGCAGGACCCTGCCTGTGTTGCTCCCCGGGGTGGCCGAGCAACCAGGCTGCCAACCGTGGCACAGGAACTGGGGAGAGGCTGCGGAAAAGAAGCTGTGACTTGGGAAGCAGCAGGGAAGGAGGAAAGGGCTTGTCTCGAAAACCAGCCAGCGATGAGCCCCCCCTCCCCGAGGCGAGACTTTGGCAGAGAACCCATCAGTGAAATCCAAATTTTATTGACTGATTAGAACAGTAGCATCCTAAAAACGTCCCCGAGATCCCCTCAGTTATTCAGGGAGGGTCTTGCACACTTGAAGCTGAGAAAGGTGGCTTTTCAACAGCTGAATATCGCAGTGAGCTGGGAAAGTTCCCTTCCCTCGTATAACCCGTGAGAAAGACCCCAGCTGCAACGTATCTCAATCCAAACAAAATAGAGAGAGAACCAAGAAGGCCCCAGGGAGCTCACACCGTGCTGGAGAACCCGGCTCCCTGTGAGACCCCGGAGGTGTCCGGCCACCCCCCTCCCAGGTTGGTAACCGTAGGAGGATGTTTGAGCTGCTGGATGCTTTGCCTCTGCCAGAGCTGTGGGGAGGGGAGGGCAGGGGGTGCCCCTTGCACCGCCCCGGGGCTCTCGTGGGGCACGACGCCTGGTGTCCCCAGCCGGGATGGGACCTGGGGACAGTCACCTCCAGGGCGGTGAGGGGAGCAGGGACAGTGCTGGCAGGGGGCTCCCCACCCTGAGGGGGGCTGGTGTGACCCCAGCTGCTCCATCCCAGGGCCCTGCTTCATCCTGGTTACTGAACATCCCTCTGAGGAGCTTTTTGGGAGCGCTCCCAAGGCTCCAGTGCTGCAGCTCCAGCTCTCACCCCCTTCCCCTGGGGCTGGGGGCTGAGCTCCCTGGGAGGGCACTTGCCATGGCCCCGGTGGGCAAAGGGCTCCGAGACCCCCAGCCTGGGCGCCCTGCAGCAGCCCCCCGGGCACTTCCCCCAGCCTCGCTGAGGGACGCATGGCCTCGGGAGTGCCACCATCCCCCAGCCCCATTGCTCTGGGACTAAAGCCACCAATGGCCCCCTCAGAGGAGGAACCCAAAAGAGGAGGCTCAGCAGCGGGGAGGAGACGTCCCCCAACGCTGCTGAGAGGCTGCAGGGAGGGGAAGGGCACGGGGCTGGGGATGGTTGTGCTGTGGGGTTGGGGACATGGGGGAGGGTCCCACACTTCATGCTCCCAGCAGCTTCTTGACCATGTAGCCTGGCATGCTGTAGAGGAAGAGGGCGATCATGATGAGGAGCAACAGGGCCAGCACGATTTTGATGATGAGCCACTTGTAGCGCGTGCAGATGAGGTATTTGATGGACTTGAGCGGGTTCAGGAACCAGATGAAGGACGTGTCCGGGCGGCTGCAGGGGAAGCAAATATCCATCGTTAATGCCGTCGCCTTGGAGAAGGGATGCACGGCAGACGGTGCAACCGCGGATGTGGTGGGCAGAGGGAGGGGCAGGATCCCCTTCCCTGGGAAGCCTGCACTGAGTGAAAGAGCAGGGGGATGAAGGCCATGGATAAGGGGAGTCAGTATGATGTGTGCCAGATGGAGTAATCATGGAATCATGGAGTGGTTGGGGTTGGAAGGCACCTTAAAGCGCCCCCAGCCCCACCCCCCTGCCATGGGCAGGGACACCTTCCACTAGACCAGGTTGCTCCAAGCCTCATCCAGCCTGGCCTTGGACACTCCCAGGGATGGGGCATCCACAGCTTCTCTGGGCAACCTGTCCCAGTGCCTCCCCACCCTCTGCAGGAAGAATTCCTTCCTGATGTCCCATCTCCATCTCCCTCTTTCCATTTAAACCCATCACCCCTTGTCCTGTCACTCCCTGCCCTTGGGAAAAGTCCCCCTCCAATGCAGGTTTGGGAGGGAGCATGAGGATTCCAGTTGAAGCTGGAATCTTGATGGGAAGGAGGAGGTGGGGGGCCACGGAATGAGGATAGAGATAAGGGAGGCAGAGAAGGAATAAAGTAAGGAAAAGCAATGGGGCAGTGAAGAGCAGGCAACGGGGGAACCAGTAGAGATGGCTCTCATCCCTACAGCCCCCAGAGCGACCCCTCCTCCTCTCGCCATGCCTGGCTCCCACCCCACAGCATCTCCCAGAAGCCCCAGGTTCCTGCTGGGGAGTGGGTTTCCTACTCACTTGGGTTTCTCCAGTGGGTCGGGCTCGTTGCGAGCCAGCCCCGCCGGGGATTTCTCTGCCTCCTCCGCTGTCAGAAGGTGCAGCTCAGCCTCGACTTTCCCCTGCAGAGAGCAGAGTGGTGCTGAGCCCTGGGCAATGCTCTCCCCCTCAGTCCCCTGGGACATGGTGACAGAGGGGACCCAAGGATGCCAAATCCCTCCCTTTTCCCCATCCTTACGGTGATCTCCAGCTCATCATTCTCATCTCTGGCCACGAACGGCCACCAGCCCTTCACCCGCTTCTGCTTGAAGATGGAGACCATGGGCAGCTCTGCCTCGTTCGTCACCATCTCCAGGCTGCACTGTTTCGAG